CAAAATCATTACACAATTGCAGTCGTGTGCCGATGCAATCATTGCATCTCATGAGGAGATTGTAAATTCTTGGCGAGAGAACGAATTATTTAGATTTAAAAGCAGCATACGACTTACGAAAAAAAAAGCAATAAAAGAAAAAATTGTGGTAGTTATAAGGTTTGTGGCCCTTAATCTGATCAACCTTACGCCTCCACTTAGTTTAAGTTTAACGTAGGTCACATTTGATTTTAAATCTAAATATTTGATTTTAAATCTAAATAAATCGTTCACTGGCCAGTAATTTACAATGACCTGATGAGATGCCTTGATATGCATCGAAACACGACTGCAACTGTGTAGCGATTTTGGAAAGTTTTCTGTGTAATATCCTAAAATAAATAATATATCTCTACTTTGCATTGAACCCTCGTTTAAATTAAATGTTACAAACGTCGAAATTGTACTCTATTCGGTCTCATCTTACCTGGATATATATATATATATATATATATATATATATATATATATATATATATATATATTAAGAAATGGACAAAGTCCGACAATTTATTTATTAAAGACATTTTTATGTCTAACGTTCTTTTTTATAGATACAAGTATTTAAGTAAATGCTCTGTTTATAATAAACAGTATTAAATAACATTTACCGACCTGAATGTCCGAGAAATTTTCATAGAAAATATTCGTCCTTTGACAGGATTCGAACCTGCATCCTATATTCATGGAAGATTAAAGTTTATAAGCAGTAAATTCAACCTTGCCTACCGAACGATCCCTTGTGGCCGAGACGGTAAGGCACGTCAGCGTAAATGACGGTTCCGTATAGGATGTTTATTATAAACAGCGCATTTACTTAAATACTTGTATCTATAAAAAAGAACCTTAAACATAAAAATGTCTTTAATATATATATGTAATTATTTATTCAAAAATTATAATATAAATATGTCGAAATTGTACTCTATTCGTTCTCATCTTACGTGGGTATATATATATATTCATGTTAAATTTTTTTTAATAAATAATTATATATATATATATAATTATTTATTTGAAAATTATAACATAAATATGTTATAAAATCACTACAAAAATACCCTTTTTGTTTCAACACCTCTGGTGGATTATCAAGTGATGATGTTGAATGTAGAATAAAGGGTTTTAAAAGGATCATATTAATTAACCACCCCTCACAAGGGGAAACACTGTTGCATAAGATGGAATGACCAATCAAAATACAAGTATACGAGAATTCAAAAATCTTGACAAAGAACTGGGGTTATAATAAATATTTAATGCCTTAATGTTGGGATTAGACTAAAATAGAATTTATTCCAAATAATAAGTATTAAATCTCAATCTATAAAAGGCAGGATGTGTGTGAGTGTGTGTGTGTGTAACGAATGCATAACCGCAATTTTCGACGGATTTGCACCAAAATTTACATGCGCATGCTCCAAGTTAGTGGAAAGGCCAAGACTGACATTGCATTTCCCAACTCCCATCGATAGTCGAAATAATCGATTTTTTCATACTTCTACGGCAGTTTTCATGTAGTTTGCGGCCATTTTCTACTGGCCAGAGTGAGAGCCTCTAGCTGTCTTCCACGAAGAGGCAGGAAGATTCTATTGGCCAGCGTGAGAGCCAACAGCTGACTGACACGAATGTTAACTAGCATGCTAGCATGCAAAAAAAAAAAAATAATAATCGATAGTTGCCTTCGTCACAGGTGGGAAAAATTTAAATCTGCATGGCACTTTACTCCAATTGGCTCATTCGCTTGCTTAAACTCAACGTTGATTCTGATTCCTCAGAACTGGGTTGGGTGCGAAAAAGTAGTTGTTGTTAACATTCTTTTTTCAATCGATTTTCCATTTCCGAGTCCTTTTTTTAAAGCTGATCGTTTTGTGTTGATTTTGCTTAGTTCTTTTTTCGTAACAGATTTAATGATTAGTATAGAGCTTAGAAAAAATTCGCAGTGTGAGATAGGCAAGAAGTAAGGCTTGTAGCAACATCAGCACGGCAAAGGGCACTCCTTTAAAGTCAAGGAAGGGCAAAAATATTTTAAGTCAAGTAATAGCGATTGCTATATGAGTTGTACGATTTTTGAATCAAGCCCGGGTATCGCCGGGCCATGCTGCTAGTTATACGATAAAATTTGAAATAAAATTTCAAATTTTATCGTATAATTTAATACTTATTAGTCAGAATAAATTCTGTTTTTTAGTGATTTTATAACATATTTATGTTATAATTTTCGAATAAATAATTATATTCGCTCTATTCTGTATTGAGCACTCTTTTTAAGAATAGTAATTCTTGCTTATTGGAATTTATTCCGTATACACCAATCCTATACTTGTATATATATATATATATATATATATATATATATATATATATATATATATATATATAATTTGAATCCTAAACGTTAAGTAAGGAAGATTACCCATCTAAAATAGTTCCAAATTACATTCATGAATTAGATTCAAACTCATAAATATGTTATTGTAACAGTCATTTAAAATATTAAAAGATTACTATCAGTAAACTGTTATATTTTTAAAAAAATTCTTTTAATGTGTTCTTTATGAATGTGTTAATAAATACAGTATTTAAGTTATATTAAATCCTTAAATTATTTGTAAAAGAGTTGAATATTTAAATTGCTAGCAAGCATCAAATTAATTTCTTTGTTGTTTTTTCTTTTTTTTTCTTTGAACATTTAAATTACTATCAAGCATTAAAATCTATTTTTTTTACACAAATTGCTAAAAACATACCACCCTTCTTCTTCTTATGTAAAACCTAATTACAGCTTCTGATGATCCAGCGTACCTTAAAAGGGCTCTGGTGAAATAAATTATTATAATGGAACCTTAAAATGATATGTTATTTCTTTAAATATATATATATATATATATATATATATATATATTGAACAATAAAAATCATAAAAATTAAAATCTTCAGACACACTGGGTTGAATATTATTATTCTTTCGTTTTTATTTTTTTTCATTTAGATTCCTCCATTTAAATAAATATATATATATATATATATATATATATATATATATATATATATATATATATATATATATATAATATGGATGCCTTTTGTGTCTGTTGAAAGTTAAAGTCAAAATATAATTTGGATTATGCGAATAATTCGTTCGTTGCGAGTAAATATTACAAACTTAAAGATAAAAATGATTTTTTCATACACAAGATTACTATTTAACCCATAGCTGGTAGGACGACGAAGAAAAAAGGTGGAGAAAAAGATGAAAAAGAAGTAAAAGGCGGAGAATTAGAAGAAGAAGAAGAAGAAGAAGAAGAAGAAGAAGAAGAAGGTGAAGAAGAGGGCGGAGGAGAAGAAAAAGTAGAAGGTGGAGAATAATAATAATAATAATAATAATAAGAAGAAGAAGAAGAAGAAGAAGAGGAAGAAAACGTAGAAGAAAAGGAAGAAGAAGAAGACAAGTGAAGAAGAGGAAGAAAGAAGAAGAAGAAGAAGAAAGAATAAGAAGAAAAAGAAGAAGAAAAAGACGACGAAAGAAGAAGAAGAAGAAGAAAGAAGAAGAAAAAAGAAGAAAAAGAAGAAAGAAGAAAAAAGAAAAAAGAAGAAAAAGAAGAAGAAAAAAGAAGAAGAAGACGACAAAAGAAGGAGAAAAAGAAGAGAAAAAGAAGAAGAAGAAGAAGAAGAAGAAGAAGAAGAGTATATAAGAATGAGTTGAAAATCGCTGATGAAGAAAGAGCGAATAACAGAAGAAAGACTTGGTGTTTCGCCGTCATGTAACCGTAAGGCTAGACTCTCAAAGGACGGTACCAAATAACAGAAACCACATCAATTGGGGACTACCAACAGCAGCAACAAGTAAAATGTATAGCACGTGTAACTCGAAGAGAAAACAACAGCATAATCAAGATATTTTCTTTTTCGCATTACTTCAAACGAAAAGTTAGGAAGAACCCCTCCCTGATCATTACTAGAAAGAGTGATAACAGCTACGGGAGTTGAGAAAACCATTTTCTTAAAATATTCTTTTAATAGTATTATATTAAAAAAAACTTCATCCGACAGTACCATTAAATCTTCGGTTAATGAATGCCAAATGTTTCCTTATAAGGAAACGGCTGATATTAGAATTATCATTACTAT